ATAAGGCTTTGGTCATTGGAGTAATTCCATGTAAAAAACAATTGCAAATGTGCATTTGTTTTGCACATGGACAAATGAGCCCTGAAAGCTACTTACCCTGTATTACTCTACATTACTCTACACATGTCGCATTTCCGAGCGGGCATTTTCCCCTTGTTGCTCTTTTCCCTCATCATGAGTGAGTTGCTGAACAATCTGAGAAAAAGATAGATGTTTTCAAAGAGAATACACCAAATAATGGTTTATTCTAAAAACAACATAATAATACAGAAGAACAATCAATGTGTGAGAGTGTGATTCTTACCTTTGAACACCTTCAACACAGTCTGACACCTGTAAGACTCAAACACACATGACACATTAGGAATACACATAGAACATTAGTTATTGCAACAATCATGAAATTATACTCTATGGATTTCACAAAAAATTGACTGCATTAGCAAAGGTAAATGTATTTTAATTATCATATGGCTGGTTTTAATGTTTATAAGAAAAAGTAAGAAATTGAATAGAGTTGCAAGCGCTAGTTAGCTTGCTACCAGCAGATGAATGGATATTTAATATTTGCAGCTAACAATAACAAAAATAACAACTGTAGTGGCTCATTTGAACAGCCACAGTGAGAAGAAGTGAAAGTCTCTGACATTGAAGACCTGGGAAGACATTAAATCCATTTATTAAACAAAGCAATACATGAACATTAAACTCTCTTTCTGCAGCAGGTAACATCTGTGTGCTCCTATGGTCCCACATGGTCCCACACCTGAACTCAACTCCAACTGATGACATCACAGGTGTCTAAATGATGGGAGTGTCCCAAATATTAAAGCTGATCTCCCTGTTTTTAAACTTAGTTTACTAAGTACTGTTGTCTTTTTGCAGTTTATAAACCATTGTGAAATATACAGTAACTTTACATTTTAGAATTGAATTATTATTTTAAAACTCAAGAATCTTAACCTTTTTTAACACATAGTTTGTTGGACAGTCTAACCTAAGAATTCTAATGTGTTAAAAATAGTTTGAAATATGAAAAACAATATCATATTTTAAACTTTAACTTAAAAACAAAAAATCATAGGAAAAAGATAACAGATAAGTAATTCCAGATTAAAAGAAGCCGTGCAGATTTGTACATTAGAATAAAAAATATTCAAAAGCAGCTGAGAACAGGTGGGTCTTTAACCTGGATGTAAACAAACTGAGTGTTTCAGCTGATCTGAGGCTTTCTGGGAGTTTGTTCCAGACATGTGGAGCATAGAAGCTGAATGCAGCTTCTCCGTGTCTGGTTCTGACTCTGGACTCGGATCCAGATGACATGAGGGGTTCTGGTTGGTTCATAAGTTATGAACAAGGCACTCAAACAACACTTTTGCACATGTTCGTTAAAGGTATACAAGAGGATTTTCTACTTCCGGGTGGATCATCAACACTATTGGTCCTCCCAAATGTCAATCATTCTGTTTATACGTCCTTGTCCTATAAGAGCAGAGAGTTTTGTTCAAAAAGTAGAAAGGGCGGTTCTTTCCTAAAATATGGGAAAATCCTCCTTTATACCTTTAAGGCACAGCAAACAGTGACAATCTTATCTAAAGGCATTAGGTTTTCACCCTCACATTTGAGAAGCATATGCACAGGTACAGTTGAATGTAAGAATTTGAATTTGTTGCGCACAACACCAATCACCCTCTCAACGTGAATTCTGAGATGGAAGGTCTAATCTGAGGCGCATTACAGTCAATAGGACAAGCTGGAAGGGTGAGAGCTTCCTCATCCTTCCTTGAGGCAGCTGCTGGGCCGGCGATGGGGGCTGCTGGGCTTGGGCTGGCGATGGAGGCTGCTGGGCTTGGGCTGGCGATGGAGGCTGCTGGGCTTGGGCTGGCGATGGAGGCTGCTGGGCTTGGGCTGGCGATGGAGGCTGCTGGGCTTGGGCTGGCGATGGAGGCTGCTGGGCTTGGGCTGGCGATGGAGGCTGCTGGGCTTGGGCTGGCGATGGAGGCTGCTGGGCTTGGGCTGGCGATGGAGGCTGCTGGGCTTGGGCTGGCGATGGAGGCTGCTGGGCTTGGGCTGGGAGTGATGACTGCTCCAGATGCTGGGTACTGCGCTTTACTTGCCGCTGATATCGCGCTCCATCTGTTTCTTTAACATTATTGTGGCCTAACCGCAAGGATGGTGTCCAGTCAGGGTGATTCTCCAACATCTCATATGATGGTTTACCTAGAACAGAATAATGTATGTAGTCAATGCTTTAAACTGGCAACAAGGTAGCATAATGTCATGAACAGAATCTCAACTATTTTTAGCAATCTCATATAATGGTTTACTTACATCAGATTAATAAGATTATTAAACAATCTGGAATCTAAAGAAATATTAAACAAGAAGGTAATGCTATTCATGGTTTCATAAAAGGGCTCAGGGGGTAGTGGCAACACAAGACAATAAAAAAGTTTGGGCACCACTGGTTTAGAGAACATAAGAGACAGAGACAAACGCACTTTGAGTGCCCATATTCCACCAACAAGGTAGGATAATGAGCAGAAACTTAAATATTCTTAGTTAACATTAATAGTTGGCCATTAAGCATTTTCATAGAGGCAACAGTTTGTTAGATAGTTAGCTAGGCAGCTAACTTAAGATGCACTTCAGTGTTTGCAACATTAACAGCTAGGTAACCTACACTTCTTAACTTTAAAAAAACAACATAAAGACATTTTAGGACGTACCCGAGTGAAAATGCAGAGAACACACTGTCATCGACTGGGGGTGAGATCGAAAGTAAGGTCCTTTCTTCTTATTGCAGCCAACCAAGCCATCCGGCGTCTCTTCGTCAGGTCAGACACTTGCGCTCCCTGATGTTGTATCCATTTTGGTAGCCTAAACAATTGTAAACCGTTGTTCCTACGTTTTCCTTTCTTATTGTGTGAGGTACTGGAGCAGTTTTTCACACAGCAATGAGCTCCAGGCATGGTAAAACAGAAATAGCGACGACCTCCTTTGCTACCGAGTTAACAACAACAAGTGTTTGCCGCTGGGTGGGATCCTACCAACATGGCGGAGACGGGGAGGGGCTCTGTGCTATGACGTCAGCTCCTCACTCTCAATAGATTCATGCACTGGCAATTCAAAATACAGATAATATACAAAATATACTTAACAAAATCCACGTATACGTGAGAAAACAACTTACTTTCTGTCTCCAACTCTTTTCAATGTGGAAATGATACATCTATATCTAAAAACTGTGCAGACTGTGTACTTACTAGAGAGGGTGATTCCAAGTAAATAAAGCAGGGCAGCGACAGAGACAGATTCAACGTCATATCAACGTCTGGGAAGGCATTGCTTTACGTCCAGATTCACACCTTACGTCGTTTAGACGTGGAAAACAGGTCCTCGACCGAGCGACTCACGTGTCAGGCTGTAAAGCCTAAGTTATACTCGCGCGGCGCATAGGTGTGCGTCGGTTGTTTAGGGTGTTATGTATTATTTTGTCACAGTAGTCTGGATAAATGCCTGGCCGTGGTGTAGCGGTTGCGTAATGAGACTTCAGTCCCAACGACGCAGGTTCAAATCCCCGTCGGAAAACTTTTGACATTTTACTTTTTAGCGAACAATTTTTCTGTTTGGTTAAAAACGAATAAACACTCAACATAAGATTATGTAGTGGCTAATAATAAAACTTGTGAACCCATGCATTTGCATACAATCTCAAGTGCTCACCCCTTATTTGCAAACTTGAGATTGTTAGCACAACAAATGCATACATTCACAAGTTTTATTATTAGCCACTACGTAATCCTATGTTGAGTGTTTATTAGTCTTTAACCAAACAGAAAAAAATTGTTCGTTAAAAATCAAAACAAATATGTAAAGATAATGATACACACACGTGGGTTCGAACTCACGTAACCAAGGCTGCACACATTTGCTTAACCACTACACTACCGTCAGGTACACTGAGATTGCTTCACAGCCTATATATTGTATTGCTAGATCAAGACGTACTGCGTCGGTCAGCCGATGACCTGTTTTCGACGTCTAAGGGAGGTCGGGATTGAACGTCATATCCACGTATATGGGAGGTCATTGTTTTACGTCCAGATGCGCACCTTGCACAGACGTCGTTTGGACGTAAATAAAAGGTCACGACCGACCGACGCGATTTTGACGTGATCTGGAGGTTGAGTGGACGTCGGATGTTTAGTGGGAGAAGGCTCTCATTCATTACATCCAGGCTGAGCAGAAGGTCACAGCAGAGGAGAGTAGAGTAGAGTAGCGTAGCGTAGCGTAGAGTAGAGTAGAGTAGAGTAGAGTAGAGTAGAGTAGAGTAGAGTAGAGTAGAGTAGAGTAGAGTAGAGTAGAGTAGAGTAGAGTAGAGTAGAGTAGAGTAGAGTAGAGTAGAGTAGAGTAGAGTAGAGTAGAGTAGAGTAGAGTAGAGTAGAGTAGAGTAGAGTAGAGTAGAGTAGATGAAAAGAGACAAAAGAGATCAGAGAGAGAAACTGGAGAAAGACTAAAGAGAGAGAGAGAGACCAGCGCGATACCAGAGGGAGACCAGAGAGAGGCTAGAGAGAGATCAGAGAGAGACCAGAGAAAGGCCATAGAGAGACCAGAGAGATCAGAGAGAGACCAGAGAGAGACCAGAGAGAGACCATAGAGACCAGAGAGAGACCAGAGAGAGAGACCAGAGAGAGAGACCAGAGAGAGACCAGAGAGACCAAAGAGAGAGACCAGAGAGAGACCAGAGAGAGAGACCAGAGAGAGACAAGAGAGAGACCAGAGAGAGAGACCAGAGAGAGACCAGAGAGAGACCAGAGAGAGACCAGAGAGAGAGACCAGAGAGAGAGACCAGAGAGAGAGACCAGAGAGAGACCAGAGAGAGAGACCAGAGAGAGAGACCAGAGAGAGACCAGAGAGAGAGACCAGAGAGAGACCAGAGAGAGAGACCAGAGAGAGACCAGAGAGACCATATTACACATCAGATGTATAATTGGAACATGTCCCCACACACCTCCACAGTAAGTCAGTCTGGTGTTTCCGAGGAGCGGGTCAGACATTAGCTCCATTAGTCTCCACAGACAGATCTACATTTCCCTGAAGCCGTGTTAGCTAGCGCCGAGTTCTGATGTGCGCTAATACCATGTGTGTGTGAGCTCTCAGGGGCCTCTCCACAGAGCGCCGGATTTACAGCTTCCATTTGAGTCCGTTTAAAAACACATAGAGCCGAAGCCCAGTCCCAGGAGACCACAGCGAGTCCTGGAGTCTGCTCGCTCCCACCACGTGTCTATGCTAACGTTCTCTGTCCGTGGTGCTGAAGCTGTGTCGTTGTGATCTTTGTGTGTCGTTGTGGTCTTTCCATTGTGGGTTTCTCCAAAGTCTGCGGCTGAATGGAATCTGCGTGTCCAATGGAAGTTCTTTCTGATCTTTCTAGTCCTTCTCTTGACACTCTCTAGTTTCTCTCTAGTCTCTCTCTCTCTCTCTGGTCTCGCTCTAGTCTCTCTGGTCTTTCTCTAGTCTCTTTCTCTCTAGTTTTTCTCTACTCTCTCTCTGGTCTCTCTCTGGTCTCTCTCTAGTTTCTCCCTCTAGTCTCTCTCTAGTCTCTTTCTAGTCTCTCTCTAGTTTCTCTCTCTCTAGTCTCTCTCTGGTCTCTCTCTCTCTCTAGTCTCTCTAGTCTCTCTCTGGTCTATCTCTAGTTTCTCCCTCGAGTCTCTCTCTGGTCTCTCTCTAGTCTCTGTCTCTCTAGTCTCTTTCTAGTCTCTCTCTAGTCTCTCTTTCTCTAGTCTCTTTCTAGTCTCTCTCTAGTCTCTCTCTCTCTAGTCTCTTTCTAGTCTCTCTCTAGTCTCTCTTTCTCTAGTCTCTTTCTAGTCTCTTTCTAGTCACTCTCTAGTTTCTGTCTCTCTAGACTCTCTCTGGTCTCTCTCTTTCTAGTTTCTTTCTAGTCTCTCTCTAGTCTTGCTCTCTCTAGTCTCTCTCTAGTTTCTCTCTCTCTAGTCTCTCTCTAGTCTCTCTCTCTCTAGTCTCTTTCTAGTCTCTCTCTAGTTTCTCCCTCTCTGGTCTCTCTCTAGTTTCTCTCTTTTTAGTCTCTCTGTTATCTGAATATTTGGTGAATGTGACTTTGTGGCGGTTCCAAAGTCCCTGACGTCGCCCTGTGTGAAGCTTAATCTCATTACTGATGTGTTTGTGACGAAGAGGAGAAAAGCGACTCCCGCCTCTCCACGGAGCGTCCGGACTGTGTGTGTCGTTGTGGACTGTGTGTGTCGTTGTGGTCTGTGTGTGTCGTTGTGGTCTGTGTGTGTCGTTGTGGACTGTGTGTGTCGTTGTGGACTGTGTGTGTCGTTGTGGTCTGTGTGTGTTGTTGTGGTCTTTCCATCATAGGTTGTTCCGGAGTCTGTGGCTGAATGGAAGCTGCGTGTCCAATGGAAGTCCTTTCAGAGGTTTCTCTCTGAGCAGACGGGTTTTTATGCACCGCCTTAAAACCGCACAAACCTGGATGTGAGAAAACACAGCTGCGGATCAGAGATTTGAAAGAGAGCGAGCGGAGCGTGACGCGGGATTACGTCTGTGGAATTCTGTGTTTGCTTTATTCAATATTGGGAATAACAAGATTCAGATTCAAGCGACAACTTTAGGATTTCACAGAAGCCGAGTCCTGGAGGCGCCAAACACATCTGAATCTGCACCTGTATCTGCACCTGTGTCTGTACTTGTATCTGCACCTGTGTCTGTACTTGTATCTGTATCTGCACCTGTGTCTGTACTTGTATCTGCACCTGTGTCTGCACCTGTGTCTGTACTTGTATCTGCACCTCTATCTGCACCTGTATTTTCATCTGTATCTGCACCTGTGTCTGTACCTGTATCTGCACCTGTATCTTCATATGTGTCTGCACCTGTATCTTCACCTGTATCTGCATCTGTGTCTGTACCTGTATCTGCATCTGTATCTACACCTGTATCTGCACCTGTGTCTGTACTTGTATCTGCACCTGTATTTTCATCTGTATCTGCACCTGTGTCTGTACCTGTATCTGCACCTGTATCTGCATATGTGTCTGCACCTGTATCTTCACCTGTATCTGCATCTGTATCTGCACCTGTATCTGCGCCTGTATCTGTGCCTGTATCTGCACCTGTATCTGCATCTATATCTGCACCTGTAGCTGTATCTGCACCTGTATCTGCACCTGTATTTGTGCCTGTATCTGTATCTGCACCTGTATCTGCATCTGTATCTGCACCTGTATCTGCATCTGCACCTGTATCTGCACCTGTAACTGTGCCTGTATCTGCACCTGTATTTGTGCCTGTATCTGCACCTGTATCTGTTCTTTTCTAATCTTTCATCATTAAAGGGCCCTAATCTGTCATCATTAAAGGGCCCTAATCTGTCATTATTAAAGGGCCCTAATCTGTCATCATTAAAGGGCCCTAATCTGTCATCATTAAAGGGCCCTAATCTGTGATCATTAAAGGGCCCTAATCTGTGATCATTAAAGGGCCCTAATCTGTGATCATTAAAGGGCCCTAATCTGTCATCATTAAAGGGCCCTAATCTGTGATCATTAAAGGGCCCTAATCTGTGATCATTAAAGGCCCTAATCTGTGATCATTAAAGGGCCCTAATCTGTGATCATTAAAGGGCCCTATTCTGTCCTCATTAAAGGGCCATAATCTGTCCTCATTAAAGGGCCATAATCTGTCATCATTAAAGGGCCCTAATCTGTCATAATTAAAGGGCCATAATCTGTCATAATTAAAGGGTCTTAATCTGTCATCATTAAAGGGCCCAAATCTGTCATAATTAAAGGGTCTTAATCTGTCATCATTAAAGGCCCTAATCTGTCATCATTAAAGGGCCCTAATCTGTCATCATTAAAGGGCCCTAATCTGTGATCATTAAAGGGCCCTAATCTGTGATCATTAAAGGCCCTAATCTGTGATCATTAAAGGGCCCTAATCTGTGATCATTAAAGGGCCCTATTCTGTCCTCATTAAAGGGCCATAATCTGTCCTCATTAAAGGGCCATAATCTGTCATCATTAAAGGGCCCTAATCTGTCATAATTAAAGGGCCATAATCTGTCATAATTAAAGGGTCTTAATCTGTCATCATTAAAGGGCCCAAATCTGTCATAATTAAAGGGTCTTAATCTGTCATCATTAAAGGCCCTAATCTGTCATCATTAAAGGCCCTAATCTGTCATCATTAAAGGGCACTAATCTGTGGTCATTACAGGGCCCTAATCTGTCATCATTAAAGGGCCCTAATCTGTCATAATAATAAACTGCTCCTTTCCAATACTTCTTTAACTGATAACAGTAGTTCAGAGATATTTAAATTTCTAAATTACTTTTTACTCTAAATCTTGTTATTGTTTTCACTTCGATGTCCCGCCCTCCACCGTTTCACCAATCAGAAAGTCTGTGATCCGGGTCGTTATGATTCTCAAATCATTAACGACAAAACAAGGAATAAAACCAGGATTTCTATCTTTGTGAAAAAGGTGTTGGTTATAGATTTGTTGTTGACTAAACTCTTGTCTATTCAGCTGTTATGGTCCCAGCTGGATTCGTCTGCATATCTGGCAACCTGAGTCAGGGAGAGTGGGAGAGGCTGCAGGACACATGTTTACACACTGCTCCTTTAAATGTAGCATTGTTCTCATTATATGTGGTCACTAAGGCAGTCTGTACAGATTCACCTCCTCCTCCTCCTCCTCTTCCTCCTCTCTCTCTTCCTCCTCCTCCTCTTCATCCTCCTCATTCTTCATCCTCCAATTCCTTCTCCTTCTCGTTCCACATCTATCTTCCTCCTCCCTCTCCTCTTCCTCCTCCCTCTCCTCCTCTTCCACCTCTTCCTCTTACTCCTCCTTCTCTTCCTCCTCTTCCTCCTCCCTCTCCTCCTCTTCCACCTCTTCCTCTTACTCCTCCTTCTCTTCCTCCTCTTCCTCCTCCCTCTCCTCCTCTTCCACCTCTTCCTCTTACTCCTCCTTCTCTTCCTCCTCTTCCTCCTCCCTCTCCTCCTCTTCCACCTCTTCCTCTTACTCCTCCTTCTCTTCCTCCTCTTCCTCCTCCCTCTCCTCCTCTTCCTCTTACTCCTCCTCCTCTTCCTCCTCTTCCTCTTACTCCTCCTTCTCTTCCTCCTCCCTCTCCTCCTCTTCCTCCTCTTCCTCTTACTCCTCCTTCTCTTCCTCCTCCCTCTCGTCCTCTTCCTCCTCTTCCTCTTACTCCTCCTTCTCTTCCTCCTCTTCCTCCTCCCTCTCGTCCTCTTCCTCCTCTTCCTCTTACTCCTCCTTCTCTTCCTCCTCTTCCTCCTCCCTCTCCTCCTCTTCCACCTCTTCCTCTTACTCCTCCTTCTCTTCCTCCTCTTCCTCCTCCCTCTCGTCCTCTTCCTCCTCTTCCTCTTACTCCTCCTTCTCTTCCTCCTCTTCCTCCTCCCTCTCGTCCTCTTCCTCCTCTTCCTCTTACTCCTCCTTCTCTTCCTCCTCTTCCTCTTCCTCGCACTACTTTCTGACAGCTGTTCCCTTCATTGTCCCTGTGAAGGTGACGTCGAGGTCCCGGCCTTGGTTCAAATATAATAAAATAACTGCTTCTGTAAAACACAGAAACACAGACATTAAAACACAGATTTGAAAACACAGACGTTAAATAAGCAGAGAATGTTCCTAAGTAAGTAAGTAAGTAAGTAAGTAAGGTTTATTTATATACCGCCTTTCACAGACCAGAGTCTCAAACCAGTTTACAATTGTTATTTTTTGGGCATTAGTCTCTCACTCCACACAGAGATGGGAGCGGGGCCAGTACAGGAGGCACATGCCAGAACTATTGTACATATTTTTAGTGGTAGGGGAAACCGGAGTACCCGGAGGAAACCTACAGTACGCAGACACGGGGAGAACATGCAAACTCCACTCAGAAAGGCCCTGGTCCGGCCGGGATTCGAACCCAAGACCTTCTTGCTGAGAGGCGAGAGTGCTATCCACTCAGCCACCGTGCCGCCCTCCTGAAGCGTCTGTGGCGTCTGTTAGCGTCCGTGGCATGTGTAGCGTCTGTTACTGTCTGTGGCGTTAGTGGCGGTGTGGCATCTGTGGCGTTTCTGGCGGGTGGCGTCTGTTGCATCTGTTAGTGTAGGTGGCGTCTGTTAGCGTCAGTGGCGTCTGTTAGCATCTGTGGGGTGTGTGATATCTGTGGCGTCTGTGGCGTCTGTTAGCGTCTTTGATCCCTGTGGCCTCTGTTAGCATCTGTTAGCGTCTGTGGCATCTGTGGATCTGAGCCATGGATCAAACGAAGGTGATTGTGACGAACCACGATCTAAGGACTCTTTAACGGTTTGAGCAGTTTTTAAACAGCCGTCATTTGTTTCGGGGGCGGGGCCTGTCTCTGGGCGCCGCACTGCACCATGGGAGATGTAGGCGTTGGACGACCGCAGATCAGATATGAACGAGGATGTTATTGAGTCGTCAAAGCAGAAAAAAAGTCAAAAACAGATTCTACCTATGACGAAACGACCTGAGAGCTGTTACTGACTGTAAATATCACACTGAGGGTAAAGTCAGCTCTGGTTGAAGAAGTTCTCCCTCTTCAAAACATGAGGAAGACCTGACGTCTTCATCATGTGATCCTCAACTGTGAGAGACAGAAGGAGCTACGGTAAGCTAGCCCGTTAGCATTGTCCATCTGTACACAGCCAATGGGCAGAACCAGACTCAAGTCCAGGAGGAGGACTGGAAATGGCCAGAGAGATCTGGCCATTTCCCAGGGCCAGGGATCTCTCTCTCGATCTCAGCCTTTGACTCTCGGTCTTGGTCTCAGACTAAGTGGACTCTCGGTGTTCTCCTGGTCTTTGGGAGCACAGGTGCATTACTCCCAGGGCTCTGAGTGGCGCCCTCTCACATCAGGTCAAGTGAGAACAGAAATATGAGCCAGAGACAGACTCAGCAGAATAAATATTTCACACACGCACTCAGACACACACAGACACACACACACACACACACACGCACACACACACACTCAGACACACACAGACACACACACTCACACACAGACAAGCACACACACACGCACACACAAACACACACACAGACACACACACAGACTCACACAGACAAACACACACACACACAGAGAAGCACACACACACACCAGGGACCTGGCTGCACTGCACATTCAGGGCTGACTTAAAGAGAGAGAGATAGAGACACCAGAGAGAGACCAGAGAGAGACCAGAGAGAGACCAGAGAGACACCAGAGAGAGACCAGAGAGACACCAGAGAGAGACCAGAGAGAGACCAGAGAGAGACCAGAGAGACACCAGAGAGAGACCAGAGAGACACCAGAGAGACACCAGAGAGAGACCAGAGAGAGACCAGAGAGAGACCAGAGAGAGACCAGAGAGAGACCAGAGAGAGACCAGAGAGACACCAGAGAGACACCAGAGAGAGACCAGAGAGACACCAGAGAGAGACCAGAGAGAGACCAGAGAGAGACCAGAGAGACACCAGAGAGAGACCAGAGAGACACCAGAGAGACACCAGAGAGAGACCAGAGAGAGACCAGAGAGAGACCAGAGAGAGACCAGAGAGACACCAGAGAGAGACCAGAGAGACACCAGAGAGACACCAGAGAGAGACCAGAGAGACACCAGAGAGAGACCAGAGAGACACCAGAGAGAGACCAGAGAGAGACCAGAGAGAGACCAGAGAGACACCAGAGAGAGACCAGAGAGACACCAGAGAGACACCAGAGAGAGACCAGAGAGAGACCAGAGAGAGACCAGAGAGACACCAGAGAGAGACCAGAGAGACACCAGAGAGACACCAGAGAGAGAGAGACCAGAGAGAGACCAGAGAGACCAGAGAGAGACCAGAGAGAGACCAAAGAGAGACCAGAGAGACACCAGAGAGACACCAGAGAGAGACCAGAGAGACACCAGAGAGAGACCAGAGAGACACCAGAGAGAGACAAGAGAGACCAGAGAGAGACCAGAGAGACACCAGAGAGAGACCAGAGAGACACCAGAGAGACACCAGAGAGAGAGAGAGAGACCAGAGAGAGAGACCAGAGAGAGAGACCAGAGGGAGACCAGAGAGAGACCAGAGAGAGACCAGAGAGACACCAGAGAGAGACCAGAGAGACACCAGAGAGACACCAGAGAGAGACCAGAGAGACACCAGAGAGAGACCAGAGAGACACCAGAGAGATACCAAAGAGAGACCAGAGAGATACCAAAGAGAGACCAGAGAGAGACCAGAGAGAGACCAGAAAGGGACTAGGGAGAGAACGGAAAGAGATCAGAGAGAGAGGGTCCAGAGAGAGAGAGCAAAGAGAGTGAAAGACAGTGAGACAGACACCAGAAAGAGAGACACCAGAGAGAGAGAGAGACCAGAAAGAGTGAAAGAGACCATAGAGAAAGAGATATACACCAGAGACCAGAGAGAGAGAGAGAGACAAGAGAGACACCAGAAAGAGACCATAGAGAGAGAGAGAGAGAGAGACACCGAAAAGAGAGAGACCAGAAATAGTGAAAGAGACCATAGAGAGAGAGAGAGTTTGGATTCCTTATGTTTGAACCGTGCTGTCCCCGTGTCCCCAGAAAACAGGTGGATGTGTGAACTGAGGCCATGAGGTTTTGGGTCAGAGCCAACTTCCTCTTGCTCCTCCTCCTTCACCTCAGAGCAGTCTGTGGTCGTCCTCTTCATCCGTCTGAACAACAACCACAGCCTCTCCAAAGGTCAGGGCTGCTCCGACACAGGAGGGTTTCTCTGCTTTTACTTCAACAAAGAAAAATAAGTGTTTTTTTGGGTGTTTTTTGAGGAGAAAAAACTAAAGGTCCTGAAACTTGTGATTGTGGATTAGTGACAGGACAAGAGACAATAACCTAAGTCCTGGTCTGCGGTCTCAGCCACAGACGGACTGAGTCTGTAGACCCAGGACTGAAGGTGTAGACCCAGGACTGAGGCTGTAGACCCAGGACTGAGGCTGTAGACCCAGGACTGAGGCTGTAGACCCAGGACTGAGGCTGTAGACCCAGGACTGAGACTGTAGACCCAGGACTGAGGCTGTAGACCCAGGACTACAGCCTCCTGGGTCTCAGACCCAGGTCTACAGCCTGGGTCTGAGGCTGTAGACCCAGGACTGAGGCTGTAGACCCAGGACTGAGGCTGTAGACCCAGGACTGAGGCTGTAGACCCAGGACTGAGACTGTAGACCCAGGACTGAGGCTGTAGACCCAGGACTACAGCCTCCTGGGTCTCAGACCCAGGTCTACAGCCTGGGTCTGAGGCTGTAGACCCAGGACTGAGACTGTAGACCCAGGACTGAGGCTGTAGACCCAGGACTGAGGCTGTAGATCCAGGACTGAGGCTGTAGACCCAGGACTGAGGCTGTAGACCCAGGACTGAGGCAGTAGATCTCCAGTCTCTGGCACCAAACCAGGATTTATGATTCTGACTGTGGCACTTTTCAGATTAAACGAGACCCGACGTAACAAAGCGAGATTACAGATGTTTTATGGCGAGAAACCGGTGAAACCAACACTCGTGGAGCCTATTCACGATGTTGAAATGGAGATTAAAGGAATGGTCCATTGTTTTTAACCTTTGACGTCTCAATTCTCACAGAAAATCGCTTGAAAACAGTTTGGTTGTGTTTAAAGCTCGGGTACCTAACTTTAAAACCTCACATGTCAGAAAACACCAGGTCCTTGCTCCACAGACTACAGCCTGGTTCTACCATGTGTGTCTGGTTCTACCATGTGTGTCTGGTTCTACCATGTGTGTCTGGTTCTACCATGTGTGTTTGGCCTCAGTCTCATCTTTAAACCTGTTTTTTCAGAAACAGTGACTGACCAGAATAACACCAGGTGACTGTTACCCACATGGTTACCCACATGGTCACAGACTACAGACCTTTTTATGTTTGTTTCTCTTAATATTATTTGTTTCATGGAATATCCCAGTGTCATTTATTAAAAAGAGAGAAACAGAGAGAGAAACCAGAGAGAGACACTAGAGAGAAAGACCAGAGAGAGACCAGAGAGAGACCAGAGAGAAAGAGATCAGAGAGAGAAACCCAAGAGGGCCAAAGAGAGACAAGAGAAAGAATAGAGAGGGAGACCAGAGAGAGAGAGACTAGAGAGAGACCAGAGAGAGAGAGAGAGAGAGAGAGAGACTATAAAACTGCAAACCTTTTGTAGTTCCTTTCCTTTATTATTATTAGTTTTATAGAACCTCCCAGTGTCATGTATGTACAGACTCCTGAACCTTGCAGCTGCTCAGTCCTGGCTCCTCTGTTTGCAGTGTCTCCACGTCTCCTTCCACAGCGATGCTAAGTGGTGGTTTCAGCTGCAGGACATGTGTAGGAGAGGGTGAGGGAGGGGGGAGGCAGGGGGGAGGGAGGGGTGAGGCAGGGGGGAGGCAGGGGGGAGGGAGGGGTGAGGCAGGGGGGAGGCCCACACACCTCCGACCAGCCCTGACCAGCTCCTGTCATGTTTCATTTGGACTCCATCCTGCAGAACACAGACAGGAGCAGACACCGTGTGGCAACAATGTCACGTGTCAAAAACAATTCCATCTTTTCTTCTCCAGCCCGAGATCACAGCAGCAGGCGCCTCGAAGGTTGGGCAAAGTTGTCGATGCACCGATAACAGATCAGAGAATCAAACAGTTCAAGGAGATGCAGTAAAAACAGACACA